ATATATCATATAACATACACGGACAATTGTATACAACTATATGTAAACATAATTTTATATATACACTCATCCGCTTTTCAGCGGGGTGAGAGTGTTGCCAGCCAAGTGTCCTTGTCCTTGCGTGGTGGTTGTGCTGGTAGTGTTTGCCCTGGGTCTGTTTTTTTCCGAGCCTACAGGATTCAACAGAACTGGGCCGTCTGTTGGGTTGAGTGGGCAGGAGAAAGTTGGATCACTGATACGAGTCTACAGGGGATAGCGCATACAGGGTGTTCATCATATCGCACATTAGAATATACCAACTGGGCACCCCTCTCTAACGGTGTATGTACATACACAACAACCAACACGTGTATATGCACATAGACTGTCAGTTGGGCGATAAAGCCTGACCATGGAGACAAACTCACAGAATGCCCCCCCTCTATTGGTGCACATACATACGCAACAACACGTATTTATGCACATAAATTGTCAGTTAGGCGATCATGTCTGACCATGGATACAAACGCACAGGATTGCTTCTCTCTATCGGTTCATATACATACACAACAACACCTCTCTACCGGTGTATATACATACACAACAACATGTATATATGCACATAAATTGTCAGTTGGACGATCATGCCTGACCATGGATACAAACGCACATGATTGGTGGTAGCCCCATGAGTATGACAGCTTCGGTGGTGCTAGATGTCATCAATGACAAGAGCATACCTACAGTAGTGTAAGGTGCCTGCAAATACTCATCAACGGTTGTACACTCGCGTAGGCTGTTCAGCAAGTATACCTGGTTGTTCGTGGTGTATGTAGAGTTCCAACAAGCGACTCTCCATGGCGTAGTTGGCAGCCTTGATGGCCGTATACTTCTCCTGCAGTATGGCACTTTGTGTTTCGGAAGAGGCTCTCACGTCCTTCAGAAGTTTGGCTTGATCTTCGTTGAGTTGCGTTTGCTGATCTGCAGATGGGGTGTGATTGATATATCAAGCTAGTGTCGAGACGTTGTCTGCACACACTATGACGTACAAGTATATCGTGTTCATTGTATGATACTTGGTACTATATATGCTTGTGCATGATGTTAGTTGACATACATATGATTCTGAGTATGTCATTTCTACGCAATTATCTATATGATACGCACATAGTTTGGTATTTATCTGAATAAATTCCGAGATCATTAATTATTACATGTATACGTCTTATACAAACATATAGCAATGCATGGCATGCATTTAGTATACCTCCCTTCAAGTGGCATATAGCGTCTAGTTTCACGTAAACGCTTTTAAATATACGTAAATACACAGTAATAGTGTTCTGATGTATGTACGACACACAGAAACGACTGACCACTGATCCAATCCCGAGATAACAGGCAAGCAATACAAACAACACAAGTACAAATACATTATATTCAGGCAAATGAAAACCTATCATAGTCCACCGATGCTGATTAAACACGCCAGCAATACAAGCATCATATATACAAATATAATAAGTATAGGCAAAATTGAAACTATCATAATCCCACAGATGCTGATTAAACACGCCAACAATACAAACATCACAAGTACAAGTACATTATATTCAAACAAATGAGACAATCAGCTCACCTAGCATAGTCCGCAGATGCTGATTGACAGCAGTTCGGTCCTGTAGCGCCGATTGCGCATGATTGTATTTACGTCTGTAACTCTCCGTTTCCTAGCAACCATAAAACGTAAGAGTCATCGGCTTAGATAATTCATCGTAGTACTGTTTGTGTGCTGATAGTTGGGCGACTCCCGGGTATATTTAACACCAACAAGTATTTATGGAAACCATGGCGACGGTTGTAAGACAAATAAGTCGACGGAAACTATGGCAACGGTTTTAAGTAGCACAATTAAGTCTTCCATGATATATATATATGCACAAAGATTATATCATACAGCCGTAGATAGGATATATCACATAAACGTAAATAGGGTATATCACATAGCCGTTAGTAGGATATATCATATAGCTGTAAATAGGATATATCATATGGCCGTAAATAGGATAGATCTAGCCGTAAATAGGTTATATCATCTAGCCGTAAATAAGATATATCACATAGCCGTAAATAGGTTATATCATCTAGCCGTAAATAGGTTATGTCATATAGCCGTAAATAGGATGTATCATATAGCCGCAAATAGGTTATATCATATAGCCGTAAATAGTATATATCGTATAGCCGTACTTGGTAGTAGAGTATCCTGCCACTTACCGCCATGCACGTGTTCAGTAGTAGTTCCTGGTTGTGAGCGCTTGTCTCCTTCTCGGCCATTTCCTTCTCCAGATGCACCATCTCGCGCAGTCGTTGGTTCTTGCTCTCAATCTCTTCCTTGAGTATGTGTATCTGTTGGGACGGCAATAGCAATAGCAAAAGTGGCCAATCCACCATTAGTCCACTCGCCATTAGTCCTCTGGTCTGGCAGAGCGTACCAGGTGTGTGTCAGGCAACCCAGACAGGCTGCGCGCCAATAGGCCGCATGTCTCTGTCAAACGCTGACAGCCGTTAACGGCATAAGTTGCTGCGGTCAATCTGGCGGTGGCAGTGAAGCACCTCCGGAGTGGAGGGCAACCATGGTACCCATACAACAACAACACACATATACAAGGAGGAAGCATTCGTCACTACCCTACGTGACTGTTGCATATACTTATCGCAAGAATGTTGCAGATTAAGTAAGAGATTCAACAACCAAAGTGAACATATTTTCTATGTACGAGATATATGGAGTTATTGGCATGCTTACTGCCACAGAGCTATACATGCATTCCAATGACAACATACACTAGCATGCAGCTATACATGCTTTCCAATGACAACATACACTAGCATGTAGCTCTACATGCTTTCCAGTGACAACATACACTAGCATGTAGCTATACAGGCTTTCCAATGACAACATTTTCAATGACAACATACACTAGCATGTGCGCAGATATTACCTGTCCCGTTAATTCTCGGTAAGCAACATCGCGTGTGGAAAGCGTCTTGGCGCGACTCAGGAGCACCACATTGTCAGCGTACGATCGCTCCAGCTCTTCTTTGGCTTCGGTCTACCAATGGCAAGGGAAGAGGGAGTATATGACGGGTAGCCAGAGATGAATGTTGGAAGGCATATATTCAAATACTACATAGTTATGCATGTATTCATATACTACATAGGTATGCATGTATTCATAATACTACATAGGTATGCATGTGTTCATATACTATATAAGTGTGCATGTATTCATATACTACATAGGTATGCATGTTCACACGTATCAAACCCCACTGCCCAAACAGACATTCTGGTATATACAGCGTTCACATACATTGGCTGCTGCTGGTTCAGGCTGACATGCACTGCATCGCCCCATTCGTTTTCAATGCTCATTGCAATGACTCACTCAGAAGGCTTAACCCTGAGAAACACGCTGCATGCACCCGCATCCCAGTGTAGGTATGTATCCCAGTGTAGGTATGCATCCCAGTGTAGGTATGCATCTCAGTGTAAGTATGCATCTCAGTGTAGGTATGCATTCCAGTGTAGGTATGTATCCCAGTGTAGGTGTGCATTCCAGTGTAGGTATGTATCCCAGTGTCGGTATGCATTCCAGTGTAGGTATGCATCCCAGTGTAGGTATTCATCCCAGTGTAGGTATGCATCCCAGTGAAGGTAAGCATTCCAGTGTAGGTATACATCCCAGTGTAGGTATGCATCCCAGTGTAGGTATGCATCCCAGTGTAGGTATGCATCCCTGTGTAGGTATGCGTGTGTGTGTTTGGTTTCGTCTTGGGTAGCAAGTACAACCCACAGCTAGGCCTGGGACTATTCGAGAACAGTGCCCCGTGTATGGTGGTGAGTATTACGTTCATGGATAGTGAGGTGCCGTGTGTATGGGTGAGCATAAGGCCCATGTGCATGAGCGGTGGTAGACTGGATGGTAGGGTGTTGCGATAGTCATGTTGTCATAGCAACCACACAGATAGAAGCGCGAATCTACTCCAGTCGATCAGGACATTCAGACGGTTCACGTAATGAAAAGTCTAGTAACAACTACGCACATGGGAGTACGATGTGACGAGAATTTCATGTAGACACACAATCCGTTACAAGCCTCAAGTCCAACTATGAACCTAAATATAATGCTACACATATGAAGTG